CACACACACACACACACACACACACACACGCACGCACACACACACACACACACACACACACACAACAAAACGACACAAACACACATACACCACACCACACGAGCATAGAACACAACACGCGCATGTGTTGCGTACGTTCTCGTGCTTGAAGCGGGTGAGGATCTTGATTTCCCTGAGCGTGCGCTGGCAGTATGTCTGGTGCTCAAAGGGGCAAATCTTCTTGATGGCCACCTGCTCTTGGGTGGCGAGGTCCACGGCCGAGCACACCACCCCATATGCGCCCTCGCCAATGAAGCGGATGTTGGCGTAGCGCGGGCCCGCGCGAAACGGCTCCCCCTTGATGATGGGGTCCTGGTGCGGTGCGCCGACACCGCGCGGGATGATGCTGTCGGAGTGGGCGTGCAAGTGCTGCTGGTCGTGATGCGGGTGCTGCTGCTGCTGCTGCTGCTGCTGTTGCTCCTCTCCTGTCATCATGGGCTGTGCTTCCATCATCTTCTGGAGCTGCTGGTGTTGGTACTGTTGATAGCGGTGTTGGTAGCGGTGTTGTTGGTGTTGGTGTTGGTGTTGGTGTTGGTATGCGTGCGAGCGCGCATGCATAGCCGCGTTCATGTGTATGTGTTTGTGTGTATGTGTTTGTGTGTGTGTGTGTGTGTGTCGTCGTGAGCGGTGAAGATGCGACGAGGAGGGTATAGGAGGAGCGGAGACAATGGCGGAGCGGCGAGACAATGAATGAAGGAAGGAAGGAAGAAAGGAACGGATGCCGACGTGAATGGGGGGGGGGGATTGTGGGAAATGATCACAAACACACAAGGGCGGATATGAACGACACAATGATGGAACGAACAAGGAATGTGCGTGCGTGACCAACACGTCCAACCACGGGCAATCGAGGAAGCAAAGGGAGGGACAGGGCGGAAGTGGACAAGCAAGATGTGCATACAAACGCAAGCGCGCACGCGAGCAAAACAGTTGACGATGACAACGCAATAGGAGGAGGGAGCAAGAGGGAGAAGGGAGATCGCCAATGCACACACACACAAATACACACATACACACATTCGCGCATTCGCACATTCGCGCACACAGAGCCACCTCCTGCTACCCCTTTTGCCAATCATGGGCAGCAGCAGCAGCAAGCAAACGTACCGGTGTGGCGGCTTTGAAAAGTGAAGCAACAACGTGGCCGAGGCGAAGGTTTTGAAAATCAGCAACGGGCGGCTGGTTCCACAGGGCACACACACAGGCACGCACAAGAACGATGGACAAGCGTGAATGGGAGACAGAGAAAAGGCCGAGGGGCTTGGTTGGGAATTGGGGTGGGGGCTTGCAGATGAATGGCAGGCCGCGACAGTTTTGCTTGTTTGCTTGTTGGTCGCGTTTGGGTGCGAGAAGGGGCTTTGGTTTGGTTGGTGTGTGTGTGGGGGGGTGGGGATTGATCTTGCTTGCTCACTCGCTTAGCGCGCTGGCTGGGGGATCGAGGGAATGTCACAACAACATAAACAACAACCAACACTGTACACACGAAAACACAAACAAGACCAAGGGATGCACGTCGTCGTTGTTGCAGTTGCCGTTTGCATTCACGCACCTTGTCGTTGTCGTTGGTGTTGTTGTTGTTGTTGTTGTTGTTGTGTGGTTGCTCTAATTATGGACGACGGCGTCAGCGTTAGTTGGTTAGGGGGGGGGTGATGCTGCTGCACACACAATGCTGCTGCTTTTCAGAGCCGAGAGGTTCGAAAACCAAGTCGCACGCAGCTCGTGCAGATTCAAAGTGTGATGCTGTGATGGGATGATGGTGGGAAAGGTGTGCGTTGCGTTGTTTGTGTGTGTGTGCTTTTTTGTGTGAGGTGCGCATTGCTTGTGCGACTTTGCCGCTTGCTTGTGCCGCTGGCTGTGTGTGTGATTGTTGGCTCACGACTTTTTGCGCGCACTGAGCAAGCAAGGCAAAGCAAAGCGCTGCGTGCAGAGAAGTCACGAGAACGCACCCACACCCACTACGGTCCACCGAAGACCGCACGCACGTTTCTCAACAACGCACCCTCTCACCTGACCAACGCCACTGGTGTCTCGAAACGGTTTGGTTTGCTCCACGAACCAACAGAAAAAAAGGCACACTCAGGTTCGCCTCAGCAAGCAAGCAAGTCCTGCGCGAGCAAAACCTTCAAACAGATTCGCCACACTCTCAATAAAACCGCATGGAATCACAGCGCCACGGTCGTATTGTTTTGTAATTCTGTCAGCGACACCACAATACAGGACGCACACACGTGCACAAGACGCAGCAGAATCAACTCACGCATCGTGCACAAAGCACACACGCAGCCAGCATCCCAGAGTACACAAAGCACAAAACACACACTCACCCCTCACTCACACACACACACACACACAAAACACACACACACACACATACACACACACATACACACACAGCTTGCCTTCATTTCATCATGGAAGGGGGAGCAGAGGTGGAGCAGTCTCGGCAGGAGCTGCTGGACTACATGCGCCGAGTGGAGGAACGACTTGACGCTACCGCGCTGCTTGAAGCCAGACAACAACAGCAATATCAGGGTCAGGATGATGATGACATGGCCAACGATCCCGCGCTGGCCATGGCCTTTGAGGACCAGGAAGACAAACAGGTCTTCCTCAGCAACGTGCTGGAGGAGCTCAAGGACAGCCTGTACCGCGTGTCCTGCGATCTGCGCGGCAGCCGCGTCCTGGAGAAGATGATCAACCACCTCTCCATGACCAGCACCGCCACCATCCTGGAGAGCATCCAGCCCTTCATGCAGGACGCCGTGTACCACCGCTACTCCAGCCACGTCCTGCAGGCCCTCATCGACAAGGCGCAGCGCATCGACGAGGCCAAGCAGAGCGGCGACGAGCACCCGCACGCCCTCGTCCCGCACATCGTCAACCTAGCCAACACCGTCATCGAGCACGTCGACAGCCTGGTCGCAGACACCTACGCCAGCCATGTCGTCCGCTCCTTGCTCTTTGCCACAGCGGGCATGCCCAGCGAGAACGACCTCCTGCGCTCCTTCACATCGGCCTCCTATCGCAAGGCGTTCAACACAGACGGGGGCCGGCACCGCGGTGGCAGTGTCGCGCGCGGCCGCGGTCGTGGTCGTGGTCGGCAGTTCCACACAAACAAGCACGGCCATGCCTACTTGCCAAACCAGAGCAGCAGCAGCAGCCACAGCAGCAGTGCCCAGCACATGCAGCACACGGCGACGCCTTCCAGCGTGCCCGAGGAGCTGGCGGAGGTGCGCCAGAAGCTGCTGAACGCCCTCAGAGACAGCCCACAGGCGCGCACGTGGATCACAGACTCGCTGGCGGGGCCTGTGCTGCAGTCTGCCATGGACGTGGTCACGGTGACCGCGGGCAAGCCGGCGTGCTCGGCGTTCTGCCGCGGCCTCCTGGGCACGTACCTCACAGAGACGGCCCGTGAGGAAGTGAACGAGAAGGCGGCCCTGCGACTGCCGCTGCTGCTCAAGGACAAGGCGGCGAGCCACCTGCTGGAGAAGGTGATTAAGGACTGCACCACCGACGTGGTGCACGACATCTACGTCAAGGGCGTGCGCAACCAGGCGGTGGACATGGCCGTGCACCCGGTGACCAACTTTGTGGTGCAGCGCCTGCTGCAGCACATGAGCGGCGACGACTGCGCCCTGCTCAACCAGGAGCTCATGCCGCACATTGAGGACATTCTCGCAGAGCAGCGCTCCTCGGTCGTGGTGGAGATGCTGCGTGCCGCCGCCCGCCACGCCAGGGGCCAGCGCAAGCTGTTCAAGGCCATGCTCACGGCGTTCCACATCCCGCAGGCGGAGCTGGTGCAGTGCCTGCCGCTCTTCCTCTCCCTCACCACGCTTGACCACTACAAAGAGCTGCTGAGCAGCGGCGAGTACAGCGCAGACGACATTGCATGCAACGCCGTCGGCTCCCAGGTGGTGCAGGCCCTGCTCGACTTTGAGCCCGAGGAGATCACAGTCGTGCTTGCAGGCTTCCTGCGCCTCACCGCGGACCAGCTTGTAAAGCTGAGTTGCAAGAGGTTTGGCAGCTTTGCCATGCAGAAGTTCTTCTCCTCAGCGAGCGTGGGCGCCAAACAGAAGGCCAAGGTGGCGCGCGTGCTGAGCAAACACGACACGGCCATCAGCGCAATGGCGTGTCACTCTGCCGGGTCGCACGTGATTGACAGCATGTGGGCGGCGATTGACGTCAACCTCAAGGAGGCCGTGGCGGGCAGGCTGCTTGCTGCAGAGGCCAAGTTGAAGGAATCCCCGCAGGGGCGCACTGTCATGCGAAACTGCCGCCTGGCGCACTTCAAGTGGAAGAAGCAAGAGTGGATGCAGAAGCAAGAGGCAAACGCACGCAAGGCGAAGATGTTCAAGGACATTATTGGCCATGAGGAGGAGGAGCAAGAAGAGCAGGCCGCCACAGCCGCCAAGGACGCAGCAGCAGGTGCTGTGACGTGCATGTGTGTGTGTGTGTGCGTTTATTTGTTTTGTTTCTGTGTGCATGTGTGTGTCTATGTGTGTGTTTGTGCTGTAGAAGAAGTGTAGCTGCATGCTTTTCATGTGCGTGCGTGTGTGTGTTTGCCATACTGTAGCTGTAAGGTTTTTCATGTGCGTGTGTGTCTGGCTGAGATCGGCTCATTCACCGCACCCCTGCCTTGCCCTGTGCTTCTCCTCCCACGCACACGTACTTCATGCCACAACCCCCACACCCCTACACCCCTGCACCCCACCCCCTCACCTCATCACACCTCCGCACGCCCTGTATTCGCCCCTTGCAGAGCCCAAGCACGAAATTGACGAGATGTTTGACGCAAAGGACGAGCCGAAGAGGAAGAAGAAGCACAAGGACAAGAAACAGGCGAAGAAGCAAGCTGACGACAGCGGCGCTGATGATGGTGACGATGATGGTGATGGGGATGTTGGTGATGGTGCGGAGATTAGCGCGGCGGCGTCTGCGAAGAAGAGGAAGAAGAACAAGTCGAAGCAGTTCAAGGACCTGGCGTTCATCTCGGACGCGCTGACGGCGGGGAAGAAGAAGAAAAAGAAGGGGAAGAAGAACAAGAACAAGGAACACGATGCTGGTGATGATGAGAACGATGCACACGCAGAGGTGAAGCAAAGGAAGAACAAGAAGAAGAACGACAACGAGGAGGGCGAGGGCAGTGGTGGTGATGATGATGATGCTGGTGATGCTGGTGATGGTGAGCCGAGGAGCAAGAAGAGCAAAACTGGAGATGCTGACAGCGAGGAGAAGACAGCCAGCAAGAAGAAGACGAAGAAGAAGAAGAGCAAGAAGGGGAAGAAGGGCGAATAGAAGAGACGAGAAGCGGTGTGGGTGGGTGGGAACAGGAGATGGCTGTCAACCCACATGTGTGCGTGTGTGTGCGTGTGTTGAGTCCCATGCGGCGCTTGTGTGTGCGTGCGTGTGCGTGTTGTTGCTGTTGTTTATTTGAAACAATAAAGACATGACGCGACAAACAAAGCGAGACAAAATCACTCATGTACATACAACGAACAACACCAAACTACGGCTGAACACGGACTGCATCGAACACACGTGCATTTGAGAGGGATGCAACAATATGTGTGTGTGTGTGTGTTGTGTGTGTGTGTGTGTGTGTGTGTGTGTGTGTGTGTGTGTGTGTGTGTGTGTGTGTGTGTGTGGTTTTGTGCATCCGGGTTACTTCTGGCGCTTGTAGATCTTTGCGGCAAAGTCTGTGAAGATACCCTTTGGAAGGTCGCCGGCTTTCTCCTCAACCATCTTCATCAGCTTCTGGTAGCTCGCCTCCTCAAACTCGTGGTACAGCTGGCAGTGGCGTCGCGCGTGGGACAATGAAGCAGACAGAAGCGGCCGGCGTGGGTGGGGGGGGGGAGTTGGGAGTGGAGGAATGGGTTGTGAGGAAACATGTGTGTACCCAAAGCACAAGATGGAAGTAAGACAGCATTTCAAAGGTGCATGTGTTGGTAGGGAGACATGCACATTGCCACCACCAAGACCGTGGCGACCAACACGATAACTATGGCACCACCGTGTCACCACCATGGCACCACCATTCAACCACCATGATGACACCGTCGACGTACCTTCTCGAGGTCGAGCTCCTTGTACAACTCCTTGATGCGCTTGACGCACTCGGGGTCCTTGCGCCCGTAGTTCTCCTGACATGTGGACAGTACATATTGGAGAGGGGGACCGAGTGTCAATAGTGGTTTGAGGTGGTGGTGATGCCTTGAGCACACGCGCATGGGTACGACATGCAGGTGCAAGGAATGCACACGCGTGTGTCAGCAAGACAAACACTGAAGCCGGTTGCGAGCAATAGCACTGCCATCACGTGAGCCATGTCAACTCCATCACGATTGACCACCACCACCACCACCACCACCACCACCACCACCACCACCACCATCATCATCATCATCATCATCATCATCATCATCATCACCACCACTACCACCACCACCACCACCACCAACAGCAACAGCAGCACTGACCTCGAGAATCTTGCGCTGCTCCGGGGTGACGCGGTCAAGGGCCTGCACCACCAGCCAGCCGCACTTGTTGTCCTGCTCATCGAAGACAGAGGCAGCGTAAGGAAGGGCCTTGGGCACGCTCATTGGCACGCATGAGGCGTGCATGCGGGTGTCATACACATACAAACATCACGCAAACACACGAACACACGCACGTACACAAGCAAACAACACGCAAACACACACACCACGCATCCACACGAGCACACACGAACACACACACGTACACACGTACACAAGCGGACCTCGATATCTGTGCCAATCTTGCCGATGACCTCTGGGGCGCCGTAGCAGTCGAGGTAGTCGTCCTGCACCTGGAAGAACACGCCCATCTCAAGCAGAATCTCCTGCAGCCGTGATGGGGGTGGTGGTGGGTTAGACCAAAGAGAGGGATATGGAGGGTGGTCAGCTTGCGTTGCAGACACACATTATAGCACAGTACCATGCTCGCACGAACGAGCAGGCAAGCAAGCAAGCAAACAAATAAGACCACAAACAAGCAAGCACACAAGCAGCCGCAGCACGAGCAGCAGCGCACCTGGGCGTTGGCAAAGGCCTTCTCGTCCTTAATGCCGGCCATGTGCATGGCGGCGGCAACAGGAAGGTAGAACGAGTAGAAGGCAGTCTTGTACTTCACAATGCACGTGTGTCTGCCACATGTACATACAACAAAGGGGGGAAGCGTGTGGAAGAGGGGAGAGGACGGTACACAAACACAAGAATGAGCGGGAAGGTTGGACGAACAATATTCTACAACTGACAAAATACACGTAGCAAAGCACCAATTGTGTGTGTGTGTGTCTGTCTGTCTGTCTGTCTGTCTGTCTGTCTATCTGTCTGTGTATGTGTCTGTCTGTCTGTGTGTGTGTGTCCGTCTGTGTGTGTGTGTGTGTCAGCGTGTCTGTCTGTGTGTGTCCCTCTATTTGTTCGGTGTAACTTGGTGTGCGCGTACTTTAAGAACTACTCGGCTTACGACATCCCAGGTGAGTTGAGGCAACTGCGTGCTCAGTCTGGGTAAACAAACTCCCGCGCTGATGCTGCGTGTCGCATGCTCTTTTCGCGCTTGTCGCGTGCCATCACCACCGCCATAACTACCACCCCTGCTGCTGCTGGTGCTGCTGCTCAGGCGGGTGGATGATTCCCAATGACGGGTACGGGTGCGGGTACACGCGTCTCGCGTATGTCATTTCGCAGCTGCACGACCTGGGCAAATACACCGCCCTCTGGACCTCGACGGGGCTCGCAAACGCAACATGGGAAATTGGTGGGTGTTGGTTGCGTTTTGTGTGTCTGTGTGTGTGTGTGTGTGTGTGTGTGTGTGTGTGCGTGTGTGTGTGTGTGTGTGTGTGTGTGTGTGTGTGTGTGTGTATGTGCGTGTGTGTGTGTATTGTCTTGTGCACTTGTGTGTGCGTGTGTGTGCGTGTGTGTGTGGTTTGTGTCTGTGGTTTGTGTCTTAGGCTGTGTGTGTGTGTGCGTGTGTGGGTGTTGTCTTGTGCACATGTGTGTCTGCCTGGTCTCCTAACTCCTTCCCCTCTTGCTGCCCGACTTGCCTCCATGCTCGTCACAACAACTTCAGGCACGGCCGGTAGCCGCGGTATCAAGACAGATGTCGGCTGGGTAAGCAATGTAACAAAGTCATGTCTCATTGTCGTCAGTGATGGCTCATTGTCGTTCCCTGCCTTTCAACATGGCTGTTGATTGCAGCGTTGTGTGCCTCACGCCACCTCCTCCCCTTTGCTCTTCATTCACATATTGCTTCTGCACTGCGCTGCTCATACCAATGCTCTGTGTTGACCCGTACATGTCATCGCGGCCATCGTCAACATGTCCACAGGTCGGTGCCGGGTACAAATTTGAGCTCGACGCTGTCAAACTCGCCTCGTCCCTCATCGAAGGTGCGAAACCGCCAAACCCGTGCAGCAGTCGCCTCTTTGAGATGGGCGCTGCTTGCTGCTGATCACAAATGGATGTAAGCGTGTAGACTTGCAAGGGTGTGCATGTGCGCTGGCGTCGCTTGCATCGCCGTTCATCAAGAATCCTTCCTGCACACCTTCCTTTGTACCTTCCTCCTTGTCGCCCTTTGTTTCTCGCTGCCCAGACAACACGAGCGAGCGGCGGTATGTGTGGAGCGTGTGTGGATGGGCGGGAACACACGCGTATGCCGTCATGTGGAACGGCGACAATGGCGGCTCCTGGGAGTACATCCGCTTCCAGGTCGAGCCTACTGCTCTTGTTGGTTGTTAGTTGTTGTTAGTTGTTGTTAGTTGTTGTTGTTGTTGTTCTTGTTCGTTGTTAGTTGTTGTTGCTGTTGTTGTTGTTGTTGTTGTTGTTGTTGCTGTTAGTTGTTGTTGTTGTTGTTGTTGTTGTTGTTGTTGTTGTTGTTGTTGTTGTTGTTGTTGTTGTTGTTGTTGTTGTTGGTTGTTGTTGGTTGTTGTTGTAGGAGGTGGTGGTAGTGTTGTAAATGGTGGTTGTGCGCATGCGGAATCTTCGCCACTCGGCCTGTCCATGTTTGCACGCGTGTAAACGTGTTCTTCATGTTGACCTCGAACTGCACACTCATGCGCACTCACACGTGCATGTGCGCACTCGCGCACACTCGCATTGACACCTACACATACATATATGCACGTGCACATGCAACCACACACACACACACTCATATCACGTTCGCATTGGCTGCAGATTCCGACCGTCCTCGGGTCGGGCCTCTCCGCACAGGCCCACACGTCCGGTGACATTGACGGCATCTTCGCTGGCAGCGCGGAGACATATGTTCGAGACATCCAGTGGAAGTGTTTCCTGACGGTGCTCATGACCATGAGCGGGTGGGCGCGCTATGACAAACAGCCCTGGCGCCGGGGTGAACCCTACACAAGTGCGTCTGGGTGTATGTGTCCGTGTTTTGTGTGTGCGTCTATGTCTGTGTCTGGGTCTGGGTCTGTGTGACGGTCTGTCTATGCATCTGTGTATCTGTCTGGCTGACGTTGTGTGTCTGTAGCTCTCTCCGTATGTGCGTGCTTGTGTTTTGTGCATCTGCGGCCTCCCTGCCGCTTTCCCTCCATGCCCGTGTCCCTCCTTTTATTCCCTTTGCTCACACGTCCTGTGATCTCATCACTTCCCCTCCCTTTGCAGGTTACAGCCGGAAATACCTCAAGCTGAAGATGCGCCTGCTGCCTTACCAGTACACCTACTCGTACATCGCCCACACGTGAGTGATGGTGCCATCGTTGCTGCTGCCGCTGTGCTTGTCACTTGAACAGATTGAATGCTGTGCGTGTGATGCGTGTAATCACCAACGACAATATCAAGCCCATCACTACCACCATCGACATAATTTTTTAATGCCACTGCCATATCAATCACCATCACTTTCATCACCATCACCCCATCACTGCTGTCAACGCACCCCTTGTCTCCCCCTTCCCCCGCCTCCACGCCTCACCTCCTTCCTTCACCTTCTTGTCATTGCTGCGTGATCAGCACCGGTACGCCACCAGCGCGTGCAACGGTGCTGGAATATCCCCACGATCCAATTGCGCTCGACAACACCACCGCCTACCAGTTCTTCAGCGGCGAGTGGCTCCTTGTTGCGCCCATGTTTGAGAAGGGGTACGTCTTCATCGCCAAGGCGAATGCTTTTCATGGTGGCGGTGTTGGCGTGATGGTGGTCGTGGCTGCTGGTGTGTTTGCGCGTGCAACAATCACAACAGCCGACGCTTCTACGTGTTCAAAACACCACACACACGCGCAGGCTTGCACGCACGCACACACACGAACGCAGTCTTACATTCGCGCACACACGCGATCGCAGTCTTACATTCACGCAACCACATACACACCACCAACAACTTCAACACAACAACGTCTTCTTCAAACCAACAACCTTCACCTTCACGTGTACAGTGATCGCCGTGATGGCATCTATCTTCCTGCTGACGAGTTTATTGATTACTGGAACGGCACCCGATATGAGGTTGTGTGCGATATCATGCAGTGATGCTGCAAGCTCACATCCTCCCCCCCCCCCAACAGGCTGCTTGCTGTGCACATTGTGCAATGGCTGTGCTGCAGTGGCGTCGCGCACCGCCGTTCTTCTGCTCTCACACCGTGTACACGACGTGCACCTGATTGATTGTTCGCGCCGTTGCAGGGTCCCCAAACCATCAACAACTACTACGCGCCACTTGCCATCCTCCCCGTCTTCGTCAAGGTCCACTCGAAGACACTTCCCTTGGTTTTTGTTTCTTGCAACAAGCAAAGTTATCAAATCCCGACACGTACCCTTGTCACAACTCAACCACCACCACCATCTGTAGGCTGGCGCCATCATTCCAATGTGGCCTGCGATGAACTATTTCTACGAGCTGCCTCGTGTTCCCATCACTCTCGACGTGTACCCGCCAACCATCTCTGCGTCAGTTGAACCCGTGTGTGTGTGTGTGTGTGTGTGTGTGTGTGTGTGTGTGTGTGTGTGTGTGTGTGTGTGTGCGTGCATGTGTTTGTGTGACTGTGTAGGTCTACGTGTGTGTGTGTGTGTGTGTGTGTGTGTGTGTTTGTGTTTGTCTGTGTGTGACTGTGTAGGTCTACGTGTGTGTGTGTGTGTGTTTGTTGGTTCGTCTACCTGTCTGTGTGTTTGTGAGGTCAGCTCATGTTGTTTCCCCGTTAAGCGGATGTACCAAAGTTGCTGCGCTCATACCTCACACCATCTCCTCCGCACGACAGAAGCGATGACCCGCGCGTGAGCAGCTTCACCCTCTACGAAGGTGTGACACAAACACCACCACATGCACACGCACACATGTGATGTTTTGCGTCTCTTTCACTGATCACGCCACAACCACAATCGCAAGCGCCATAATCCTGCAGCCAACGTGTCTCTGATACGCACACAGCCTAATCCTCTCCATTGCTCTTGCACCATGGCATCCACTTGATTCCCACGCGCGTGTACAGATGACGGGCTGTCACGCGAGCACGAGAAGGGCGCGTTTGCCCAGCAGAACTTTACAATGAACGCACGGCATGGCGTTGTGGAGCTTGTCATTGGTCCTCTTGTTGGATCATACAAGACCATCAATGACACGGTGGGTGGGTGGGTCTGTCTGTGTGTGTGTGCCTTGTGTCTGTGTGTGTGTGTGTGTGTGTGTTTTGTGTGTGTGCGTTATGTGTGTGTCTGTCTGTCTGTCCGTCTGTCTGTCTGTCAGTTTGTGCGCTTCGTGTGTGGATGTGTGCTGCTGCTGCTGCTGCTGCTGCTGCTGCTGCTGCTGTGTCTTGGTTTGCCTACCCACGCCACTGCCCCACGCCTCACCGATCCATCATCCAATCAAACACTTCAATCTGGCCAGCGGTTCTACGAGGTGACGGCACACGTGACGGGCGCAGTCTCGGACGTGCTGCAGGATAGCAACGCACTGCCGCAGTACACCACCGTGGAGGACGTAAGCTTGCTTGTTTGTCCTGCCTTGCCTGCGACGCCCATGACAAGAATGCAAGCGCTCGCTCATTTTGGAACAATCGCCATCACTCACACGCATGTACTCATGCACACATGTACTCACACTGATGCGCTCGTGCGCGGTTATCCTTGTGGCCTTGCTCTCCTTATTGCCCATCAAGTTGGAATTTGTGAACCAGGGCTATGTGTATGACGCGAGTGACAGACGAGGCGTGGTCACTGTCAAGCTGGATGGTCTTCATCGCACACAATCCACCACCATCTTCATCCATCACGCTACAGGAACAACCAACATTGCATGAACAACAACACACGAACAGCATTGAATGAACAACAACACACGAACAGCATTGAATGAATGACAACACGAACGGCATGCCCCGAGAACGAACGACACACACACACACACACACACACACACACACACACACACACACACACACACACACACACACACACACACACACACACACACACACACACACACACACACACACACACACACACACACACACACACACACGACTCAAACGTATCGCCTGCGACACCACAAGTTTCCTTCTTGGCACAAAAACTCCCCGTCCTTCTCTGGCCTTTTTGTAGTCGCACCGGCCTACGCAAGTCGAGGCGCCAAAACCTCAACAAGCAAAACAACAGCAGCACCAGCAACACTGCGAAGATGCCTCGTGTTGCGCGCCGGCTTGGGCTGGACGCGGTTGTGGCGGCGGCAGTGAAGAACCTGCGCCCGGAAGCCACGGTGGCGGCGATGTTCTCACCGCAGGACTACCTGAGCATGGTGCTGTCAGATTTGCAAGTGGTGGGGATCACCACGGGCCCGGACATGGAGCACATGGTGAAGCTGCGCTGGTCGCAGAACCCGACGATGGAGCTGTGGGCCAAGCCCACCATGCTCAAGCTCATCACGCCTGGGCCCGCGGACAAGTACTTCCTCACCGCCAACTCAATCTCCTTTGGCGATCTCACCTTCAATTCTGCAGACCTGTTTGCCACAGACGAGCCAGACCACTTCAACTACATCAGCGACGACGACAACGTGGAGGAGGACTCGGGCCCAGACGCTGCGCTCCTGCCGCCCATCCCGCACCTGCCATCCCCCACCACGCAAACGCAGGCCACACAACCACAGCCAATGCAACCAGCGTCCTCCACCGCGCCAAGCACGGCAACGGACGCCCAGGGCGCACAGCAGGGGCAGCAACAGGCCGCGGGTGTGCAGGCGGATTCCAGCAGTGGCAACGGCCATTCGCCGTCCGAGCAGCAGATGGGCCAGGCACAACAAAATGGCGCCCAGCAACAACAAAAGGACGCACAGCAGCAGCAACAGCAACAACAACAACAACAACAACCTTCTACCACGACGACGACGGCGGGTGGCGTCAAGTCAAGCTGCCTGCCCACATGGCACGACTGGGCCCAAGTCACCAACGACTACCGCAGCGCACACTTTGGCAAGGAGACGGCGCGTCTGAGCACAGACAACACGTCATACTACAGCGTGTTCAACACCTTTGAGGCCATGATGCCCAAGGACTTCATCATGGACACGGTGCTGCCTGCCACGAACGACGCCGGGCGCGACATTGAGAACTTCATGCCGGTGCAGTACGGGGAGTTTATGCGCTTCCTTGGGCTGTGGTTCCTGTTCAGCTGCTACCAGGAGGAGGTGCCCGTGTTCTGGTCGCCCACTAAGAGCGAGCTGTTCACGGCGCCGCGCGTCAACAAGTACATGACGAAGAAACGCTTCTCCGATATCCTGGCGGCGCTCTCCATCGTGCCGCTGCAGGCCATGCCCACCACCTTCACCGACCGCTACGCGCACATGCGGCCCTTTGTCGCTGCGTGGAACGCGAACATGAGCAAGGTGTACCGCTCGTCCTGGATCAGCGTGCTTGACCGCGTGGACTGCCTCTACGCCAACAAGTTCCACGCGTCCGAGTTTATGGCCGTCCCCAAGCGCTGCCCGCCCCACCAGAACTCGTACTTTGTGCTGGCCGACGGGCAGACGAACGTCGTGTACTGGGCCGAGCTTGACGAGGGGCCGGCGCGCCCCGCCCAGCTTGGGCCGCTGCCGTACACAGACGTGTTTGAGCCAAACACCGCGCGCCTGCTGCGGTGCGCAGACCAGGCGGGCCTCGTCTCCACCGGCAAGGTCGTGCATGTGCCGAGCGAGTACGGGTCGCTGCTGTCCATGGTGGAGCTGCGCAAGAAGCACGTGTACGCCAGCGTGGCCCTGTCGCCCGGCAGACCCATGCCAGATGTGCCGCAGTCTGCCTTTGAGCAGTATCTGCGCGAGCAGCCTGTCGGCAACACGCTGTGCCGACCCGCCACGTGCGAGGAGCAGCCCTTGTACTTTGCGGGCGTGCGTGACACGGCGAACATCCTCATGCAGCTGTCGACGTACGGCAGCATCATCCCCGTCGGCAAGCACAAGCACCGCATGGCGGGCGGTACGCGCGTGTCGTTCCAGTACCCTGAGGTTGTGCACAACCATCTCGCGGTGCGACGGGCAGCGCGGGTGAATGAGTCCCTTCGCCACGAGTGGCGGCCCGTGGAGGACGTGTGGCTGAAGAAGCAGTTCTGGCACGGGCACTTTGCCTTCTTCCTCGGGCTGGCAGAGGCGAACGCGTACTTTGTGTACACGACGTTTGTGCAGAAGAAAGGCGGCAGCGCAATGACACACACGAGCTTCCGCAAGCTCCTGGCCAAGGAGCTGATGACCAACCACTACCTTGCGGAGGAGGAGGAGATGATGCTGGCGCACGAGGAGGGCGTGACGGCCGGGCACATGCAGGTGATGAAGCGCGCGAAGGTGAACGCGGCGCACCGGCTGGAAAGCATTCCGTTCCACTCGACGTGGGACGGGCAGGCGTGGCAGAAGACGCTCAAGGTGCAGCAGGTGCAGCGGCGGTGCAAGTACTGCAAGAAGAAGACGCGCCACTACTGTGTGTGTACGCCGGCCAAGAGCGTGTGCACATCGTGCTTCTCCAAGCACATGGTGGAGGAGCTCACTTGAGTACATTGTGTTTGCTTTGCGTGTCTGTGTCTGTGTCTCTGTGTGTGTCTATTTCTTTGCCTGCGCGCGCGCGTGTGTGTGTGTCTGTGTGTCTGTGTCTGTCTGTGCTTTGTGTGTCTGTGTTTATCTGTGACTGTATCTGTGTCTGTTCATGTTGACCTTGAGCCATTCATCACATTTTGTGTTCGTTTGCCAACCACTTCCCTTCGCTTCTCTTGTGTTGCTTTGTTCTGCTGTGAGCTGAAAGTGTTTACGCACTGTGTTGCTTGCATTGCAGTTGCCCCCGCTTGCGTTCTTGTTGTCCACATCCACACCCAATGAACCAACCCCAAAGCCAACCACATCCAATGAACCACGCCCAGCAACAACAACAGCAACAGCAACAGTTGGCATTTCAGTCTGGCTGGAAGGACTGCAGAAAACCGTTTTCGTGTGTGTGTGTGTGTGTGGAGTGGATGAGTGACAAAGCAAGCACAGCAACACCAGCACAACAACACCAGCAAGACACCGCAGGTGCACCCACACAGCAGGCAGACGACAACCAGCATGGCCGGCGCTGGCGATGGTGGTGCTGGTGCAGGTGGGCAGCCCTTGCCCTTCAAGGAAGCCTTGTTCTGCTTCTTCGTGAGCATTGCCACCATCCTTGGCACAGGTAGGAGAGCGTGTTGTCTGTGTGTGTGTGTGTGTGTGTGTGTGTGTGTGTCTGTGTGTGTCTGTGTGTGTTGTGTGCCTGTGTTGTGTGTCTGTGTGTGTGCGTGTGTCTCTGTGTGTGTGTGTGTCTGTGTGTCTGTGTGTGTGTGTGTCTGTGTGTGCATCTGCCCCTGTCCCCTCGATGTCTCTATCCGTTGTTTGCACCTTCGCAGCATTCCCCTCACCCATGTTCCTGACACCCTTTGAACCTAGGCATCTTGGCGCTGCCTGTGAAGCTGTACGAGTGCGGCTTTGGACCGTTTGTTGTCACCTTCCTCTTTGCTCTTCTTGCCCAAGTGAGTGTGCATATTCTTCGCCCATCTGCATCTGTCTGCGTGTGCCTCTCGTGTGGCGGCTTGCTTGTGTATCTCTCTGTCATTGTGCCTGCTTGCCAGCACACACACACACACACACTTGCACACGCACTTGCACACACACACACACACTTGCACACGCACACTTGCACACTCGCCTCAGTGCTGTTGCAACCCATATCTCTCGCACGAACGCCTCTCTCTTGCCCCCACTGCTCAACGTCTGCACCGTCTCTCAATGTGCCCTCTTTTCAGACTGGCGTGGTATGGCTGATGGTTGAGATTCTGCAGCGGGCTGAGCACCGAATGGCGCACAGTGCGAGCGGCCCACAGGCCAGCCCCTCCCTCCACAGCCTCGCGGCCATGTACCTGGCACGCCCCATCAGATTCGTGTTCAACCTCTCCGCCATGGTCCACTTTGTCTCCCTTCTCATCGGCTACGTCTTGGCGTGGAGCAAGGCCTTCTGCCAGGTGTGTGTTTGTATGTATGTGTGCGGATGTGCGTGTCTGTCTGTCTGTGATGTGCGTGTGTGTCTGTGTTTGTGTGTTCGTACATTCGGCTGCACATGCATCAACCCGTGCAGAGCCTCATCTGTCTGTGATGTGCGCGTTGTATCGACTTGCAGCAGCCGAGGCAGCTCACCTTCAGCTCCCTAACCCTGCACCTTGCGTTTCACAGCTGGCTGGCTGTGAGGATCGTGTCGTCATCACCCCGTTTGTGATTGTGTTCACGGCAGCCATCGTCATCTTCAACAAACAGCTGCAGCCGCTCGTCACCACCCTCACCTTCATCAAGGTGCGGGATGCATCTGAGTGCTTGTGTGTGCACTGTGTCTCTGTATGTGAGTCTGTATGTGTGTGTGTGTGTGTTCTTCTGTGTGCAAACAGCTGTGCATGTTCGTGTCGCGGTACTCAAATGCCGTGAACTTTGGCACTCACTGCCTTCCACGCTTACCTTCCCCCTCTCTGCATGCAGTGCGTGATGTTGATTGTCATGGTGGGTGTCGTCGGCTACATCGGCAGCAAAGCGGATATCGATCCCTCCACTTCCTGGCCAGCCATGGGCTCACCGTTCCTCATCGGTCCGTGGCATATGCTGTGCTGGTGTGTGTGTCTCTGTCTGTGTCTGTGTGTCTGTTCGTGTGGCTGTGTGTGTGTGTGGGTGGGTGTCTGTGTGTCTGTGTGTGTGTCTCTCTGTCTGTCTGTGCTTGTCCCGTGCGTTCTCCCCTTGCCTACAGCTACCGTCCTCATCCAACCACCACAATGGCTTGCTCCTCCGCCCCCCCCCCTTACACCAGGCACCATCGCCCTCGGCGGCGTCGTCAACGTGATGCCCGTCCTGTACGAGCGCATCCCAAAGTCCTCCACCGCCATCCGCCAGTTCCGCTCCTCCGTCACCGCGGGCGTCGCCGTCTGCTGGGCCCTCAACATCCTCTGGTAGGCATGTGCGTGTTTTGTGTGTGTGTGTGTGTGTGTGTGTGTGTGTGTGTGTGTGTGTGTGTGTGTGTGTGTGTGTGTGTGTGTGTGTGTGTGTGTGTGCGTTTGTCTCTAAAACT